AACAGTTGAATCTAAGTCGTCCATCAAACTACTCGGACACTGCTTTGTCAATGGTATCATCACTCCTAAAAAAGAAACACTTTGTCCAATCCAAGAGTTTCCTCCTCCAGAAAGTCCTCAGTCCTCAGGCATTACTACGAGCAATACAACACATTATAACCCAATAGACGTGGTCAGGTGGAGCGCAATRATGATGGAAAGCTSTCCGATTATCCCTTAGCTCACCGAACCTACCTGCAAGACAACAAATGCGAGGTATTACTTCCAATAATCAATAAGGTCCCTCCATTCTACGGCGGCTACCGTGAATCCACATTAAAGATTCTTCTTCCAGCGTMGCTCATCACACGGAACTTTACTACCTACATGATAGGTAGTACTACCTATGGATCCGGTCACCYCACTTAAGATGTTCAAYTCCCGAGGATTAAGGCACCAAAAGTCCATCCCGGTATGGATGGTAAGACCCAACAGAACAAGACCTTCAACTTTGAACACTGTCTCGATGTTATTTATATTTTAAGGGAGGGAGAATGCTGTARTATTGTTATGTTAAGGTCGGACTTCCTGTGCCCTGCCTGCATTTTTAAGCCGTCTTTTTTTGAGATACCTGTAAACGCCATTTTGTATAGTCGGGTTATAATTGAAATAAAGCCTAGTCAAGGTTCAAACTCAACACTTACTACTACAACCCGTCTTTATTTTAACTTATTGAATTTTAATTATTTCTTGCGATCTCGAAATAAGCAAAATCCAACTGCAATAGTTGGCGCGAAAGGACGAGGACGTGCACCCGCTCCCCAWATMCACTTGTTTTCATATTACTTTACGCTGTAAAGCAACGCTTGTCATAGGTGACTCCATACCTTTTCCTTATACGTGAAACGGTCACATGGTACTCAATCTACCATGTTGGATRGAAAAATACTCAATGGGATGTTYAATACAAAGAAAAGTCAAATTTKACGGGATAAGTTCCTTTTGTTTTTAAGGTTGTTTAAATTCTTATGCCATCCAGTATGGTGAATTTAGTGCCATGTGATCGTTTCATGAAAAAGGCTAATTACACCGATAAGAGGCTACTCAAAAAAAYGATGATGTTAAATTTGACAGATTTGAAGGATATAGCTAAAGATCTTCGCCAGCCGCACAATGGCTGGTTCCATCTCTGTGCGAATGGATTCCAACTAGTGTCCAAAAGCCAAAGCAAGTGTGTTGAAAACATTGAAAACAGACCTCTTCGAGGTAGGTAAAATTTCGGATATGCGTTGAACTTGATTCGTCCAACTTTTTTCTGCTAGAATTTATTTTTAGAAATAAGGTATGTTGCTATGAAGTGTTATAAATCAAATGTTCGTAAAARCTGTATGTTTTGAAAACTCAAGCACATTTCAAACGCATGATAAATATGCAATATATTAATTTATGTAATGGCTATCGTAGTACGCGCTATTGATTGGTCATATGTTATTGTTTATTTCACCGGTAAACGCAAGGATGCGAAAATGCTATAATATAAAAGCAATAAACAACACATTCTTATTGCTTAAAGAGGTTCCTCCGCCGTTGATTTAGAACTAGCGGTTTTTAAAGTAAAGAGGGTTCTATAGTATTATTATAGGTATACTTTTACATCGTTGAAAATAAGTAATTTTTTATAACCAATAACTTTAATCATAAACAATAAAGTCTRAGTCAGGCAAAATATACGAACTTTTAATTCATCTCCCAATAAATTCCTGGATAAATTCTAAACAACTTACATAAACAAAAATGATTTACGTTTCATTTTTCTCTTTCAGTAGTCTCATGTAAGGATGAGGTGGGAAACAAATACTTTGATCATGTTKCGTGGAGTCCCAACTCTTGTACTAGATGCACTTGTCAGGATGGACTTATAAATTGTACAAGAGAAGTTGTAGATTATTTGTCTWACAATCCTGTCAAATCTACTGAATGCAAGCAGCCTCAGTGCAACACGTGGAAATTTATGAATGAAAGGATAAATTGCTACGGTACAAACAAATAGAGCGATAAAGTACTATTTATAACATGACCGTGTATTTTGGAGCCTGGACGCGAATAAATGGAGTGATCTGATTGCTTTATGTCGATTTTTTAAGCGGTCTAGTTTCTCTTKGGTAGACGTACTGTGCGCGCAGTCGATTACTCGTGATTTTTTTGAATTTTTTGAATGTTACTTAACTTAAACGTAAAACGCCAAAATTCCATTTGATATTATTACTAGTGTCAGAAATCWGTCAGAAACACAAGTTTTATCCAGTATCTAGACGAAATTTCAATTGAAAGATAGCGAAAAATTGAATTTAATTTATGTTCAGTGTTATGTCTGATCATTGCCTTTTATTCATGAAATCCGCGGTCATATAATAAAAACTCTTAATAACTGAGCTTTAGCTGATTGATTTGTTTGTTTATTAATATAATGATTTGTTTTTCTATTTTAAGTTTTCAAGTGGGATAAAAAATATTATGCGACTGACACACATTGGATGAGTAAAGGAATTCCGTTTTATAGCACAGAAWWTCAATACAAACCCGGCTGTTATTTYAAATTCTCCGGCAGCACGAACTTCGAATACGACACGATCAAGTGCACGGGACATTACCCATGTAAGCAAATTTTGCAATCAAAACCAAGATTAAAGAAGTCATCTGAATTGTCTTTGTTATTATAAGATATATGCTGCATTTTTATTAGATGCATTACAGTAATGCTTCGATCTAGAGTTTGACTTGATTACACCAGAAACCTATAAGGGACTTAAAACGTGTAACTCCGTGCCATCCGTTGGAACATTCAAAATCTACTTTACATCTCATTCCTCATTCAGTCCTTATTTGGAGCAATTCAATTTACCCTAGCCAACCGGAACGGGTCTTATATCTCTTATCCAAAGCCGGAATTTTCCAATTAATATGGTCATAACGTTCAATTATTTCGAATTTTTAATGACCTATGAATATTCCGACGCTTGGTACTAAAGAAATTAGTGTACGGGCGCTACACGTTTCAAGTCTCTTATGGGTTTCTGATTACATATAATGCACTTATTAGTCTACAAAAGCGCGACTTATTGCGTACATAGGATACGATGATTCGATGATCYGGTGTGTGATATTTGCTATTGTATTATTTGCAGCTCTCAGAGACACTCCATTTTTCTCAAGTGATCGGCATTTTTTATGTCAGAGTGGAGACCAAGTAATCCCAAAGGATTTGATCTGCAATAATGAAGACAACTGCGATGATAAATCTGACGAAATATTYTGCGATACATGTGAGTTATACTTTTAGATAATAATAATAATAAATAATAATAAACTTTATTGGGTGATAAACAGATAAAGCGAAGCTTTTTTTCCAATCTGGCCCATAGCGTAGTAAATATATAAAAGCAAAAGAGAGGGAGTCTTTTAAGACTTAAAAGTTTTTAAGACTTTTAAAAGTTTTTAAGACTTAAACGTTCCTTAGAAGCAAAGAGTTTGTTTTTAGCGAGTTCCCAGATATGTGCTTTGAAGGACTTCAGAGTAGAACACTTTGTGGTGCGGCTGGGGAGTTTATTCCATRAATAACTYCCAAGAAAGGAAAATGACCGCTTGCAWGATAACTTGAAAATAATGTCCAATGTGCTGATATGACATATTTGCCTAAAGCATACAATGYTAGGATTTCTTATAGAGAAGGGCATTTCTGTTAGGTCAGATTCTTGATGTGCAACCACGTGACCAAGAATCCCCTGAGAAATAAAGAACAAAGCTATCGCCGCCATGTTGGATGAATGAACAAGAGAAACTAATGAGGAATGCTTTGTGATCTTCATCCAACATGGCGGTGATGACGTCACCTGCACACCAAGAATAGTATTTGGGAACTGAAACGCCGCTATTCTTTGTTTGTAATATACCTCACAGCGGCCACCTTATTTAAGCTTTAACAAAGGATTTCTCACTAACATCTCGGCAGCTCATTCCAACAACATGGCCGCTGTAGTTTTGTACTTTGAATCTCATGCAATGGGTTTAAAATGAGGAAAATGTTAACATTTATTATATTTGCATATTGATTATTTTGTTTCCCATACTCCCTTTCGATATTAGTCTCTTAGAACTCGACAACATTAATTCATGCAGCTATTGTTGACAATAATGCATGGATATTTGACACTTTATTTTCATTATGTGGTACATTTAGATTATTGTCCGGATCTAGCTAGAGGACCAAAGTTTTGGACAAGAGTTGCAGTAAATACAACATTAAACATAAGCTGCTCTGATCTCAATAAAAACTATACAACAGGTATAAAACTTAGCTAGTTGCAATATTTTTTTATCAAGACATAATGTCATGAAAGAAGTAAACAAGTAGTAATTAGTGCCCAGAAAACTACGGACTTTATTATTTACCATATTAGGTTGGTGAATAATAAAACATTTAGACCTCTAGGTCTCTTGCACGCTTGTATAGTCKATATCAACTATTTGTATTACCATACTAAGTGGTCTTTTACAAATCCTACATTTTGATTGGCTACGCTGCTCGGGCCCTTTGACTACGAGCTGATGTCTCATTCGTCCTCATGGGCTGTTGTAATCTTTTAGTTCACTTGTCCTCGAGATCTAATTGTTTTAACATGTTTTAAAAGTAGTCCACTCGATTTCATGGTCTAATTGTTGAAGACCCATGCGCATCCAAAATCTTCGCGGTCATTTCTTTTGTTTTCGAAATGATTTCTTGTTGAAAGTTTCTTCCTGATTGGTTCAAAATCAAAAACGGKGATCTTTCATATGTGAGCAAATTGTGCAAAGTTTCTTGAAATCAAGTGGGTCTTTGAATTTTTTGGCCTTTCATATCACTTGTTTTTTCATCAAGTTGCATTAGCTATGGACGTCTTAATGGCTGTGATTATTTTAGGCACGTATCACAACGTGTGCGGTTATAAAAGTCGTTTTGGGCGATCAAGGACGGAGTGGAGTGGAGAATCATGCACGTGTGAAAATAAAGATGTCCTGCTGTATGTTGACGAGAAGGTAAGTATCATGTCAGAATACGTTTTTGATCAAAATTTCAAAATTTATATCAAAACATTAAAATTCTTTTTCGATATCATTTCAGTTTAATGATGTCAATGTAACCAAGGAAAGTTTCCTTATGGATATCCTCGCGAAAAGCGCACTCAAAATGACAAACAGAAGGATTGTATTCGAGTATATAAGGAAAACCTACGAAAGGAATAAACAACGCCTGTTTCCAGTAACAGCCCAAAACGACGAGGAAACCTCCATTTTCATCTTTGTAGGTTTTCATGGATTTGTGAAAAATAATTAGTATATAATGGTTTATGGTCGGTTCACACTGCAACATACAATTTTCTTCGTGTGACCATACGCAGAAGCAGACACACAAGAAAATGAAGAATAACAATTCTTTTATTCTCTTACGCCTCCTTTCTGTTAAGAAATTCTGAGTATGATGCAGTCAAATACAATAATAAGTTCATCCCTATGTTAACTGTGAACCAAGAACCGGCCCTTAAATCATTGACTTGCAATTATGTTTACATAGTAGTCATTTTATTGTAGATGTTGATGTTTCTTATCGAAGGACATGACATTTGGTATGACAATAAATTGTCAAATTTGATCTGTTCCTATGATAACACAGATTCGGTAAGTAGCTATAGAATAAGAAGTTTTTTCCTTTCAAGGTTTTACCAGGCTGCCCTGGTTTTACTAACCTAAGTATTGTACCTTTTATATTTCCTTTTTGTTCCTTTCTAAAGTGCTTGTAGACAAATTTCTTGAAAATTTGTATCAATAAGGTTAAGGATTGGTGTTGCAATTATTAAATTACGGCGATGGCAGCTTGTTTTGATATAAAAAAAATATTCAGTAATTTTTTCGAAAACTCTCTCATTATTTTCTTCCAAACYCTCTGTATCTTCAGCAGTGTGTGTCTAGCCAGGCGTCTTTCAATGGACTTTAAAAAGTTCAGAACAAAAAATGGAAATAAGAAATATAACGCTAAGTTTTAATGCCGTCTTTTAATATCTCTTGAAAAATAAACTCGACTTCTTTAAAACAAGTTTTATTTGAATATTTCATATTTCACTTTACTTTTGGTGAAGTTTCGTGTCAGTAATCTTATCCATAAGACGCGAAATTTGCGATTTGAAGCGAAGAGGTTGCTTGTAAAAACGAGTCCTTCGATCGGCCTTAATAGTGAAGCAACACCATTTTGTGCTSCAAAATATGACGGTAATTTTAGTCCTCTTACGTATTTTTATAGACTCAAATACATCTCCCTAAAAGGCGTTGTTATGTTTTCTTTGTAGAAACGGTTTACCTATTTCTATTTTCAATTATAAAAAGCAAAAACTGTTTAGGAGGACTGTTAGAGCGGACAAAAAAAAGTACGAGGACTACAGCTACCATCATGCTTTGCCGTACAAAATGACGTCACTGGACTGTTTTGCGTCCCTCTCSATATTATTATTATGTTGTTATTATTTATGGTTATTATTATTATTTATTATTTTATTATTGTATTTTTGTTATCATTTTATTTTTCATTTCATTAAAATTATCTCTTCTTAAAAGCTGTTAAATAGACAAATGAAAATTGGATTTTGATTTTTTTGTGCCTTTTCTCTAAAGGACCGATATGTTCTTCAAAATGATATCATTAGACGCGCTTCCAAGGCACCCAGGGGATCAAAGACCTACGCGGTTTATAAGACTTTTGATGAGTAAGGTTGATTTTGGTTAATCTTAATTTCTCTTTGTTGTCAGTTTTCGCGCTATCAAGTTATCACACTATCTTTAAGACACTTAATTTTTCGTAATTTCCTTTTTCTATCGCGAAATTTAAGTGTCACGAGATTAAAGTGTAACTGAACTCAATTGTTTTCAAATTCTCCTAGGATAATCTGTCGTATCAAAATAGTAATTTGMCACAAAAAGATTGTRAACTGGATGAATTCCCGATGTTTATCGTTATTTTGAGATTCCCGCCAGTTCAGAAAAATGCGCKCTCTYTKWRA